CCCCTTTGGCCATTCCAGGTCAGCACTCCTGGCCATGCTCCCTTCCAGCTTTTTGTGCACCTCCTCACTGGCAGATCACAGGAAACTGAAAGTCCTGGATTTGCAGTAAGCACTACAGAGCAAGAACTGAAACATGAACGTGTTACCAACACTATTCTCACAAAACACAGCACTGGACATAGCTACTAGAAAAGCTATTAACCCTATCCTAGCTGGTACCATGACATGTAAAATGATTACGTTGCATGTGTTGTATCAACAGAAGTGTGACACAAACTAGAGTGATTATCCACTTTTTTAACAAGACCCTTTTGTACTCATATTTAGCCCATAGTTCGCTGTAATCCCCAGGTTTTTACTGCAGTGTTACTGTCAAGAAATTATTCCATGTCATGTTGTAACTAGTATATTGGCATATACTATGCTGCAGTTCTTAATTCAGCAAGACTATTTTAATTTCATTCAGCAAAACCAGTAATCTTCATTGACATCTAACACTGACACTAATTGTGTCTAGATAAAACATACCAAAGTAGATGGTTTCAAGAAATGCACATAGACCATGACCTCTAATGATTGTTAGCTATAACAGCTGTCAGTCCAAGATTCTAGGCAGTTAATATTTGTCTTACAGCTGACTTCAAAATGCAAACTAATATTGCCACTAGCCAAGAATTTATTTTTCTCAGTTTAAGGAAAGACAACTGCTATGTTGGTATCTAAAGGTCCCTATAACTAACTTCACTTCTGTGAGTGAGGAAATGAATGACTAATTGAAATTTACGATTGGGATTTTTTTCCTGTCAAATTGCATGCTTTTTTAGAGAATGATGGTGCAAGGGTTGAAACTCAGATTGATTGAGACCGATTTGACAAAATTCCATTATTACATAGTTTTTTCATTACAGTGATCCAAATGCATGGCTAAGTAGGTTTGTTTTTGTAATTAATCAGATTTTGTATTAAATTTTTGATGACTGTCAGTTCCATTTCATCCCCAAAAGAATTCAGGAAAGGGTTTTTTCTTGCAATGATTTTGTCCATGTGTCTTGATTATATCTTACACTTCACTGTGCTTTGCTGTGTTACCGCTCAATTCCAGATGGTATACACTTTTGGCCATACATTGCATGCAGAAAATCTTGATTTTTCAAATTATCTTTCATATGTTTGATCTTCTTTGGTACCACACAATCCTTTTATTGTGTTTACTGATAACATTTTTACATGTCCTTACTTTGCCCTAGTTTTGTCCGGCTAGAAATCTTGGCTACTTTCGTAGAAACTCTTAGGTTTGGAAACTCTTAAATTTGGAAAACTTCCTTTCTTTAATTGTCAGAGAGTCTTGAAACTATTTCCATCAGCTTACAAACCAAAACCTTTCCTGTAATTACTTAATGAGATTGTGAGCTGTGATATCTTTGATTGATTTCCACGGCTATGTTCATCAGCAAGTGCAAATTCAGTGCAATAGGAGCAGTTTGGTAGACGCAGGAACAGCTGCTGAGACTCTGACAGCTACACTCTGAGCAGTTTGAGCAGGCTGAGTTTTGTCCCTTGGAATGTATGTCCCTGACAGGCATCCAGCTGTTAGGGTCCAGGTGTAGGCTTGTACCATTATGGCTTTTCTAGGGATTGGTGAATGTTTAGTATAGAGAGAAAGCAGAGCTTCTCTTTCAGTTGGTTTCAGAAGGCACCTAGTACTCACAAAACACAGTCTGCTCTGTGGACTGGATCAACACAGGGTAAGCAGCAGCAGAGAATTCACCTTGGGAATCAACAGAGCACTGAACCAGAACACTAATGTGAACACAGGTGATAGGATTCTTATTTTTAAAATGCTCTTTAAGGTTCCTGGAAAGATAATTCCTAGAAATGAATTTGCATGATTTCCAGCATTTTGCCAAACCAAGTTTTGGCAGAACTGGGAGCTGAAACATTAAAACATTACATTGCAGTATGCCTGTGGAGCATATGTCCTCCTTTGGCATTAGAACTTCATAGGTGCTTTTTTGTCTATTTTTGACTTTGCTGCCAGCAAACAAACAGAAGAGAGGGATGATGCAGGCTGTTTCTAGAAGAAAATGCAAGAATAAAGAAAACCACAAACAAAACTGTGGGAGAGAGTACTAGTTAACAAGAAGCAATGGAAATAAATGGATCAAAGACAACAGACCTTGAAAGGCTAATTAAAGAAAATACTTAAGGACAAGTCATCTCTTCCCTTCTACCCATGATTTCAGATCCTACTTTGAAAAATCTAAATAATGTATTTTCTTCCTTAAATAAGAGGAATGTTGTCACCTATTTTCATGAGAGCCCTACTGGCTTTAGATAGGAGCACCTGAGAGAACAAGACTTTCTCAGTATCTTGTATGATTTACATTTAATTTAGCCCACTGTAATTACTCCGGCACACTGGAATTTCCTCTGTTTTCTTCTGTCTTCCTGCACATCCTAATCTACACTGGATTAGTGCCCTGCAGGTTTACAAATGTATACCTGTTAAAACCTTTTTAAAAATCACCAGTAACATTATTGCAATTCTTCTTTTCAGATTTATGAGGGAACTGCTCAGATTCAAAGGATGATCATAGCTCGTGAACATGTTGGCAAATTTAAGGCTTAAAGAAACGTATAAAGCGTGTCTGGTGCTGCTGTAGTGTTCTGTGTTCTTATGGAAGAAGATTTTAGTGTGTTTCTTAATAGAATTAAAAAGAGATAAAATTCCTTCATGATATTTTTATTCCATTCATTATTAAGCACTGATTTTGTTCTCAGTATAAAATAAGATAATCAGAGTATAATTTTTGACAGTCAATGCTGCATTTCAATAAAATATTTTTAAGAGAAGTGTGGTTTGTTTGTATTAATTTTGCTTGTCATATCACTTTCATTGGACAACTAACCCAAAATACTATTTCTGAAGTACATTGATAGCTGTATTTCAGTTTCTCTATGCTCTTGCTCCAAGCAGCTGAACAGCCATTCCATTTGAGCAGCAGGAAAGCCTGCATTTGTCTGCATGTGTCTGTGCTGGGGATTTATGTACTAGTCAGATTCTGGCCTTTACACTCTGAAGCATGTACATATTAAATGAGGATGAATCACTTCAAGTGAGAACGTGTAGCTTTCCCTTAACGATGACTTACAATATGTTTTTTATTTAAAATCCAGTATATTTAAACACAGAATCAGAGAGTATGCAGAGTTGGGAGGGACCCACAAGGACCTTCAAGTCCAACTCCTGGACCTGCACAAAAATCCCACTCTGTGCCCAAGAGCATGGTCCAAATGCTGCTTGAGTTCTCACAGCCTTGGAGCTGTGACCACTGCCCTGGTGAGCCTGTTCAGTGCCTGACCATCCTCTGGGGGAGAAAACCTTCCCGTAATACCAAACCTAAAGCTCCTGACTCAGCTCCAACCATTCCTTCAGGTTCTGTTACTGAGCACCAGAGAGATGAGATCAGTGTCTGTCCCTCTTCCCCTCACAAGGAAGTTGTAGACTGTGATTAGTCTCCCCTCCGACTCTTCCTCAGGTTGAACAGACCAAGTGACCTCTGCTGCTCCTCATACAGCTTCCCCACAAGGCCCTTCATCATCTTCACTGCCTTCCTTAGGATGCTGTCTAATAGCTTAATGTCTTTCTTAGATATATATAAACCTATTATTCCTTTCCATCAATGCATATACTTAACTATGCTTGCAGCAAGAACAGCCAAGAAGAAGGAATTAGGAGATTTATTTTTTTTTTAACTTGGATAGACCTTTCTTGGCAATGCTGGCAGAATAGACATTCCCTGGAGTTCTTGGACAAATTACTGGATACGTGAGGCTATACTGCATCCAGTTCTAGGCTCCCCTGTGTAAGAAAGATGGGGACTTAAAGGAGGGAGTCTAGCACATGGCCACAAAAATATTAAGGACCTGAAGTATCTGTCATGTGAGAAGAGGCTAACTGTTTAGCCTGGACAAGAGAAAGCTTGGGTAATTTTATCTATGTGCATTAATTCTTGATAGGATGTAATGAAGAGGAGGGAGCCAGCCTCATAGTACCCATTAACAAGATAAGAAGCAATGGGGACAAATTAAAATACATGACATTCCACTGGAACACAACTTATTTTTTTACTGTGCAGGATGTCATATGCTGGCAGAGGTGGTGGAGTGTCCATTTGACACTCAAAACTCAACAGGCAGTGGTCTCGAATAACCTGCTCTAGCTAAAGCCTACTTGGTGTAGGTGGGTTGTGCTCCATGATTTCAAAAGGTATCTTCAAACCTCAATTAATCTATTAAGTAATTTCCAATTTCACTCCAAAATGTCCTTGCCTGTGTCTGGTATCTTTCATGTCTCATCTGAATTTACTGGATGGTACTAATACTATCATCAGGTATAAGCTCTGCAATCCTTATTTCTTGGGTAAGCTAGCTGGAAAATCAGTTCTTTAAAGAAAACATTTAGTCTCTGTACTGACTTTCCTCCAGGAAGAGTCATAATGCAACATCTTTGGTAAGTATTTGACATATGTAAGACCTTATTTTTGACTGTTCTATGCAACATTATACGTACTACAACTTCTTTGATGTTCCTGTCTCGTATAGTTCAGGGGGAATCAAGAGTTGGTAATCAGAAACAGAATCACCTAAGGCAGTTTTAATTAGGAAGCAAGAAAGACGGTTTTGAGCAAAAGGACAGTTATCTTTACCCATTTTACCTGCGACTAAATTCTTGGATTTGCTTTTTCATAGAGCTGAGGAAGGAAACCGAAGTTATTTCTAAACGCTGTCTTATTTGATGTGATGCAAGAAAGTGCACAGCTGGAGTTAGTGTACTTTAAACTACCTGTTTCAGAGTAGACTTTATCTGCGGCAAGCCAGAAGACCACAGCCGCCGCCGGGCGCCCGAAGAGCACAGCGCAGCCCCGCGGACCCGAAATGCGCAGTGCCGCTCGCTTCTGCGCAGCCACCGGCAGGCGGGGCCCGAGCGAGGCCGGGCGGGCGCAGCGAGGCCCCGCCGGCCACCGCCTTCCGCTTTGCCTCTTCCCCTTTTCCTGTGCGTACGGAGAACATGGTGGGTAGAGGGGTCGGTGTTGCGGTTCGTCTCGCCTGCGGGAACGCTTTGTTTTCTAGCGCGTGGCTGTATCGGCCCTGGAGAGACGCGAGTCGCACTGGGTCCGCTCGGGGGGACGGGAGTGGCGCTCGCCTTTCCAGCAAGCCCGGGAGCACGCGGGCTGGGCCGGGGCCGTGGGTGCGCGGGGCGGCACGGCTGGGCTCGGGGAAGGGCTCCTGCGTCCGGCACTTCAGGTTATTCTTGGCGAGTTGGTGTTATTTCTTAGCTTTATTGCAAGGTTCGGTTCGTAGCCTTTCCTGGGGAAGGGTTTAGCCAGGCTGAACAGTGATGGCGTGAGATGCGCAACCTGACCTCAAAATAGGCTCAAAATAGCTAGAGAGATGTTTTTTCCCAGAGTCACAATCACCGGTGTTGGTTATTTTATACCAAGTTGCTAAAACGTTTTGACCTGACATTTCAACTGACTTACTGGTGCTTTTTACAGGGGACACCGCAAAAGGATGTTATAATAAAACCCGATGCCCCAAGCACATTACTTTCAGAAAAACATGCGGACTATATAGCTTCATATGGAACAAAGAAAGATGATTATGTAGGTATCAGTTTGTTACAATACAACTGTGGTTTTGTTAACAGTAATAACCTTTATTTATTGGCTCAGAGCTAAGGGTTAGATGCATGTTAAAAAGCTAATTGTTTTTTGCCCTGCAATCCAAAGTATAAAGTAAAGGTGCCCTTGCTAATGTCTCTAGGTCTGTGATGAGTTTTGGCATGTATTATCTGACTATAAATTTGAAGATTATCATTTTAGCTCTATAATTACTCTGAGACCTGAGAAACAAGCTACTAGCTTCTTCATTCGCTAGAATGCACAAGTAGAGTTGTATTTGCATGTTACTCTTTTGATGGGACAACTTGCATCAATTTTACAGTCATAAGTGGTTGGATGTAGTCCACAACAATATGATTCCACTTCCAGCAAGTGAAAATTGTCAATAACTGCGTATGTGAAGAAAAGTTGTGGTTACCTTTACTGTTCACAAGAGCATGCCAAGCACTGTTGCTTTCAATTGTAGTGCATGTGAAAAAGTTTATGTAGTGCAGGTGATGTAATCAGTGTAAGAGAATTCAATATGAAATTTCACTCCCTAGTGTGACTTTAAATTGTGAGAGTTTTGGCACTTGGAAATAGACTTGCTATTTTTTGAGACTAGTTGGGCTGGCAATTTGAGGGCTTCTTTGAATGTCAGTAAGTGATCTGAAGTGAACTGGTGTGCAACTGTTTGTGGCTAATTTGACATTGAGCTTGATGGTTTGAACTAGAAAAATACAGGGAGGGAGGGAGTGTAGTACGTGTTGGTATCTACATGTGCATTTTCCCATATGTATGTGTATATACACATGTGCATGATCTACAGAATATCTTGTGAGTGGCTGATGTGTAGTTGCCAAATGGTTGGAAAACAGTTGACTAACTAGAAGCTATTTGTGAAAGTTAACTAACGTATTTTCATTACCCTACATTGATGGTGTGCTTATCTGATCAAGAACTAAAATAATGCACTGTTTAGGAATACTGTATGTCGGAGTATTTGAGGATGAGTGGTGTGTACTGGGGACTGACAGCAATGGATCTCATGGGGCAGCTGCACCGAATGAACAAAGAAGAAATTCTGTCATTCATCAAATCGTGTCAACATGAGTGTGGTGGAATAAGTGCCAGCATAGGTCATGATCCTCATCTTCTGTATACCCTCAGTGCTGTCCAGGTAAATGTAGGAGGGTAATTTTACAAAAAAGTGTTTGTGATTAAGATTTTGATTATTGCAGATTTATGAACCAGTTACTGTTGGAGGTCCATGACAAAAATTATTTCGGTATCTTAATAAAAAAGGAATCTAGTGGACAAAACTGTAGGATTTAGATGTATTACTTTCTAAAAATTGACATATTTGGGAATGTTTTAATGGTCAATTAATGGTTACTGCATTGTTGCCAGTTTAGTAAGTTATCTTGGAATACTCCTTAGCTACAGGTTTTGCTGGAGCATTTTATAGATAATTTTTGATTTTATAAATTCTTCTTAGTGTACGTTGAGATGACAGATAAGTATGACCAGATCAAGAGCAAAATTTTTTATTTTTATATGAGTTTTTTGGGGGTGTGTAATTTAAAAATTGTACTAGTCTGTTGAACATTTAATTTGTTTGGTGCATATGCTCCCCCTGATAAGAAGTAACTCTCAATCTTATTTTTTAACTGCAGCTATCTCCATTATAGACTTGTTTTCTCACTATTGCTCATGCCTTTATTTTGTTTATTTTTTTGTTTTTGTTTGCTCTGCTGATGCAAACCATTTTGTGAAAAAGTACTGAAAAGGCTCAAACACTTCTGAACAATTAGCTTGATTGCTTGCAGGGTGTGTCTCTCATTCAGTCTTATGGATGAAGTATTTTAATGGCATTACAAAAAAAACCAAAATGGCATTCTTTTCTAGGCAGAAGCTATGCTGGATTTAAGATATTGGGTTTGAACCCCTTAGGTAGGACAGGATGCTCTAAGGTTGATCATTATTACCACTTTAGCACTAGAATTACTCTGAATACACTGTGAGAACCAGGACACTAAAGTTTTTCCAGGCTGTGATGTCCGAACTTTTCCAAACTGTCCAATCCAGCTCCTTTCACAAATTCCAATTCAGTATAAGGGGGTGTCCAATTTGAGGTTGTTACCTTACCTATTATATATGTTAGTTCTTAAATATGTACTTGATGTTACTAGGAGATATTTTCATGTTAACTAAATTGAGCTGTAGCTATCCAAACTGAAAAAGTGTTCACAAATGCTGATGTAAAGTTTTTGTGGTAAACCTAACCAGCTTATCTTAATGAGTATGCATGGTCTTAGTGAACAAACACCGTTTGTTTAGTGCTGTCTACGTATCCAGGATGTTTAAAGGGTGACATCATATGTTCTTGTGATCTCACTTAATAGTAATTTGTTCAGGTTTGCATTTAGGGAGCATGTTGTGATTACATATTTTCTGTTGGAGTTGTAGGTTCTTTTTTTTGGAATTTTCCGTAAGACATATTTTATTTGACTTCAATTTTATCTAACAATTGAAAGATTGAAGCTAACTAGATTTTAAAGTCATAGTGTCTAGTGTTTTTCAGATTGGTACTATAATATTGCTTCGTTTCAGCTGGGTTTTTTTTCCATTTTGTGCTGTATAATAAATTCTTATTTACTGTCTTTACTGATTTGCAAGGTATGAGTAAAAACATGAAGTCAGATAGGGCTCAGGAACAGTACTGTTGTTTTCACATGATATTGTGTCATACAGATTTGTTGGTTTAAATCAGCGGTGGAAATTGGAAATTGGTTTGGAAAATTGTATTTCCTACTATAATCTTCATTTTTCTTCCAGAATATATTCACTATACAGTTGGTGTATAATCATACTGTTCATACTTAAATTATTGCATTTTGGTTCTATTTGTTAAATTTAAAATTTTAATTTAAATAAAATTCTAATAATTTGAAACAAGTTATTGTTGATAAGTTTGGACTGTAAGTGGAGTTAGTAACTTAACATACACATATCCAAGTAGTCGCAGTGCAAAACTACAAATTGGTGCATCTAAGATGTCATTGTACCATCCATAATCAAATATCTGTTCTACGTATTGCTAACATAAAATAAATAAACCTGGTTGTGCTTTTGAAAGGAGACCTCAACACTGGAAAGTAACAAACCATGATAGAGTTCAGTTTGAATTGTTTGTATCTCCCTTTGAGAATGTTTTAAAGGTTTTAGGCAAAGATAATCTGCAGTGCAGAGATTAACTACTAAAGTGGGAAAAACGTTTAATAAACCTTACCAAATAGTATTCAGAGTTAATTAAATCTGAGTTAATTTATAAATGTCTTTTATAAATCCATGATTTTTTTTTTGTTAAGATAAAAATTTTTAAAGTTGTTGCTCCTCTTTGATTATTACTGTGTCCTTTTTTTTTCCCTCCCAGATTCTTATTTTATATGATAGTCTCCATGTAGTTGATGTAAATAAAATTGTTGAATATATACAGAGCTTGCAGAAAGAAGATGGATCATTTGCTGGAGACGAATGGGGTAATTTTAGATCTTTTAAATGTAGTGTCTAGGTTGACTTGTGTAAGTCTGTAAACTTAAGTTTCCTTGGATGGTCTTTTTGCATATGTATTATATGGGAACACTTTTATTTTCTGAGTCATGGAAAAGAAGAGTTTGTGAAGGACAGAATTATGTTTCATTCCTTTTATAAATATTCTCAACTTCAGTTCCATTCTTGTATTAAGAATAAAGTGTCTTGACGAAGAAAACTTTTGGGCATTTTTAGCATAACAGTACTTTGAAATACTAGATACGCTCTTTCATAAAGGAATTTTATACTTGCTATTTGATGGTAGTTAGTAATGACATATCCATGTCAAATATGAAAGGATTTTTCACTTTGTGGGAGTGAGAAAAACTGGGTTTGTACTCATTAACTTCTCTTAATACTGATTTTGTTTCTGCTTATAAATTCTTTATGAACAAATACAAGATTTTTAAGCTGTGGCATAAATATTTAGTCACTCTCAAGGTATTTATCACCATGGACGACCTAAATTTTAAGAAAATCTATTGCGTATCATTCTTGTTCAGGTAAAATTCAGCAACTGAGATCTTAGCAGTATATGTATGCTACTGTAAAGGTAGACGATATGCTGTGCGCTAAATTGGTTCATAGTTTGCTGCGCCCTTTTTTGTTGAAGTATTCCGAGAGGCGCAGCTGAGGGAGTGTGATCCCTGATGTAGGATGGAGCAGCAGATAGTTGGTTTTTGTATTTCAGCTTGTGAATTTCTTAAGAACAGAAGTCTTGCAAAAGTTTGACCAAGAAACAGAATGTTTGCAGCTCAGTTAAATTTTAAATTGTGACTTCAAGTATTAATTACCTAGAGTTTGTGCTAAAAGAGTTATATTGGACTTGACAAACAATCATTCTGTTATAGGTGTAGGAGCTTAGGTTTTTCTTCCAGGTACAAATATGCAAACGAAGCCTTGTAACTTTAATTAGATTTCCCCTAAAACAAGAAATGGCTTCTACTTCTGGCTGGATTTAAGGCAAAGCAAGAGCTGTCCGATTATTTTTGCTTTATTTCCATTGCTCTGCAACTGTCTGTGGAGCACTGCAGAAAAACTCTAAAATTAAACAGCTGTTTGTAAATTACCGCTAGCTGAATTGATTTGGATATATAGCTGTCCAGCTCTAAAAGAGTTGTTGACTTTTATGCACAGTAAAACATACAGATCACTTAAATGGTAATGTATATTTTCTAAATTACTGGGGAAATAATTGGTAAGGTGGAAAATTAAATTGTATGGGGGGATTTTTTTAGCTGATTTTTGTTTTTTGATGTAGAACCTAGGATTTTAGCATTTTGTTTTGTATTTTCAGTAGTGGTTTAAATGTATGTTGAAAAAATAATTGATTTCATTCCTTATCCCCCACATTATAGGAGAAATAGATACAAGGTTCTCTTTCTGTGCTGCAGCAACTCTTGCACTTCTGGTAAGTCCTAAACCACCACTTGCATAAGTAGAGAATCAATTGGTACTGCCCTTTGGTACTGCTGAAGATTCTGCAGAAGATCAGCTTGATAGGAGATCAAGTGCATTAGTTATTTTCTGACTTGCAGGGAAAGCTGGATGCTATTGATGTGGGAAAAGCAGTTGAATTCGTTTTGTCCTGTATGAACTTCGATGGAGGATTTGGTTGTAGACCAGGTTCCGAATCACATGCAGGACAGGTGAGTTTCTCTTTATATGGAAATACTTTAAATTAGCAAGCATCACATACTGCCTATAAATGTTTCTTTACAACATGTATCAGTGATGACAATGGATGTACCTCTTGTTTCCCAAATGCCTGATTCTAGTGTCTTAGTTAAAATAATGAACAGATAAGTAACCTAATCTGGGAAGGTGAGTCAAGACTTGAGAGTTTAGGTAGGAAAAAAGACAGTAATAGAACAGCTTTTAGGACTGTATTTGAGTCTTCACATAGTGATTTTGAAATTGCTAGCATGAGGATTTTTAGAGAATTTGAAATGGCTATCAATGGAGACCGTGAACAAGATTTATCACTTGTTTCTGGCAGAAGTCATAATGAGACATAAACATTAATTGTATAGTCTGTCTGAAATTTATCAGCCAATGAACCCAAATAAAAACCAGACATGAATCCTGTCAAGAATGACTTAATTTTTTGAGGAAAGTCAGTTTTTAGATTACATACCTAACTTAGTAATGGGCATATTTCTCAGCTAGAATCACTAGTGTTACACACTGTTACTGGTGACAGTGAATTCTGAAAATAGCTCAATAAAACGTACTTGAGAAGAAAATGCAGTAGTATAATTAGAAAAAATTAAGGGATCTCACAAGGAAGACAATCTAAATAACTTCTTTCAACAGGAAATTTACATAATGGAAATAATTTTAAATTTAAATTTACCTTTCCTAATTTTTTTTCATGGAAAAGTTTAGTGCACTTAACCTGACTATGTGAAAAAAATCAACTTTTAATTCTGTTGTAGTTACCTGTTAATTTTGCATAATTAGGGTGAGTAATACCATAGCTAGGATTCACCTCATCACATGAAAATATTAAAGGCATTTTGTTGACAAGTGTTGGGTTTCCTGCCCCTTCTTTATTTAAAATCAGGGAAAAAAAGTTAAATCTGTTACATGTAATTGCCATATAGTTCTAATGTACAGTAGCATTGCCCATACAGTCTAAATGGCTGGACCATGTTCTAGTGTTCGAGGAAGTCAGTTCCATAGCTGAAGCCATTCTGCTTGCAGCTGGCATTTTCTGTGAGGATTAGATCTATTGTGCTTATTCACATACTCCTTAAAAAGCTCTCTCTTTCATCTCCATGAAAGTTCAGTATTTTTCTGGGAATGTTGCCAAACCTGATCTCCTTTTATGAGTGGGTGACCTGCCTAGGAGATGAGAGAAAGGCATCCCACAGAATGCTCCTGGAGGGGCTGCAGCCTATGGTTTGGACAAGGTGCAGTCTTGGCTGCATGGCTGGACCCAGAGAGTATTGGGGAATGATGTTAAATCCAGTTAGTGAAGGGTCACAAATGGGATTCTCCAGGGCTCAGTTTTGGGACCAGTCCTTTTTGATATCCTCATCATGTGGTCTGGACAAAGGAATCAAGGGCATCCTCAGTAAGTCACAGGAAGGACCAGTTTGTGTGGGAGTTTTGATTCATGGGCAGAAGGCTCTGCAAAGCCTAGATCCATGGGCAAAGGCCAACTATGTGATATCCAACAAGGCCAAGTGCCGGGTCCTGCACTTGTGTCACAACAGCCCTGTGGAATGCTCCAGGTTTGGGCAAGAGTGGCTGGAAGGCTGCCCAGCAGGAAAGGACTCAGGGGTGCTGGTCGACAGGAGCTGTATATCAGCCCAGGTGTGCGCAGGTGGGCAAGAAGGCCATTGGCACCTGTACCAGCCACAGTGTGGTCACTGCACCAAGGCAGTTGGTGTCCCTTGTTCTGGCACTGCTGGGGCGCCTCCAATCCTGCAGGCAGTTTTGAGCCCATCACTTCCAAAAGGACATTATGGTGCTGGAGCATGTCTAGAGAAGGGTAATAGAGCTGGAGAAGGGTCTGGAACATAAGGCCTGTGAGCAGCAGCTGAGGGTACTGGAATGTTTAGTCAGGAGAAACTACCTGAAAGGAGGTTGTGGCAAGGTGGGGGGTCGGCCTCTTCTCACAGTCATTTAGTTACAGGACAAGGGAGAATGACCTCAAGTTGCACTGCAGGAGATTCAGGTTGCATATTAGGAAGAATTTCTTCACTGAAGGAGTGGTTAAGCATTGGAGCAGACTCCCTAAGAAAGTGGTGGAGTCTCCATCTCTGGAAGCGTTCAAAAAATGAGTAGATGTGGCACTTCCTGATTCAGTGTAGTGTTATTTGGTGGTATTCAGTTAAAGGTTGGACTTGATGATTTTAGAGGCCTTTTCCAGCCTTAATGATTCTATGATTCTTGGCTTTTTGTGCTTCGCTGCTTTCTTAGTGACTGCATAAAATGTGACCAGAGTATGCTGTTGCATCGTAAATGTATCTCCGCGGAAAAAATTATTTATTTTAAAATTATTATTAAAAGGGGATTAAATCAAAATTAATACAATTAATTTTATCAATTAATTCTATTAACTAATTAATTTAGGGGATTAATAAAATTAAAAGGGGATTAATCAATGCAGATACATTACATGGCACTTTGAAAGTTAGCGTGACCGAACACATAGGGAATCGCCAAGACAGTTAATGATCTGAGTTAGCCTGTTTCTGTTAGGGAGTTCATTTGGTCTTTTGTTTACTGTTTGCAAGCATTAGGGTAAAAGGCAGGTACAGGAACAAACCATAGACTGGATGCAAAATTTTTATAAAGGCCATATCCAGCCTGCAGAAGTTGGTTTGACTACTCTGGCTTGAGAGTCTGTGTTTTTAAAATAAAATTATATGGCTCTCTCAGGATCTCCTAGGATTATGTTCCAAACCTTGCATTACTGTCTTATATTAGTGAAGTATTACAAATTGTGCTACTGGTACCTTTTTACAAAAGGAACTATAACAATAACATGGTTTTCTAAAGGAAAAGTCTTTGAAACTAAAAGTTGAAATGTGTGTGAGCTTATGTTGCATTGTTTATATGACTGTATTGTTGCTTTGTTTGCTATCTTCCTGCATTTAGTCTGCTAAACTATATTTAGTTATTAAATACACAAAAAATTTATGTCTGTAATTTTAGATCTATTGTTGCACAGGATTTCTGGCTATAACAGACCAGTTGCATCAAGTAAATGTTGACTTGCTGGGTTGGTGGCTTTGTGAACGTCAGTTACCTTCTGGAGGTCTCAACGGACGACCAGAGAAGGTATTTCGTGGCTGCTTTTCTTTGTTCAAACCTCAACAGAGATTGCTTTTTCTGAAGCTGAACTACTGCAAAATGTTATGACTTCTATAAAACATTTAGTAAACTTTTCAAAGAAGTCAGGCCTTCATCCTGATTCTGTCTTTTGTTACTAACACCTGTTATGCAGGCCTTAGCTATGCTTCATTTGAGTCCTCAGTACAGCAAAGTACACATGCTGAAGGATGTCTTGCATCTTTATAGGATTTGTAGAAAAATTGCTGTTCTACTGGATGTAAATCCTGAGTGTCATAGTGTTTCACATCACACTAGAGATTTGTGTAACCTAGAATAATCTCTGGCAAATAGATAATCATCCAACAGATTCCCCTGCTTCCCCCCTTGCCCCCAAAATACAAATAGTTGATATGAACTTCTCTGTATTTCCTCTTCAAAGAAGTGCTGTGGTTTTTCAGCCTCTCTCACAGAAGGTGAAGTCTTTAAAAATCACATTCTTGTGGTCTTGTTTCTTGAAGAAGTTTGAAAAAGATAGTTTCCTTTCCTGAAAACAGAAGTCCGCTGAAAAGAGACTCTGTCAAGAAATTCTTTTACTCCAAAGACACTCTTAAGTGTTATGTCTCCGCAAGAGTATTATGATAGCACACCCCTGATAATGTGCAGAATTACCAGTAAAATTTGCAACATTATGTTTAAAACCCAGGCAAATATTTAATCTGTTTCTCTGCTTGCCAGTTACCTGATGTATGTTATTCATGGTGGGTGCTAGCTTCTTTGAAGATGATTGGTAGGATACAGTGGATTGACAGAGAGAAACTGCGCTGCTTTATTTTGGCGTGCCAGGATGAGGAGTCTGGAGGATTTGCTGACAGACCAGGAGATATGGTAAGTGATATTTTTTCTAAATAAAATACACATGAAAATTTCAACTGGAAATATCAACTTTTGTTTGAGTGTAACTCAACTCATGGTCTAGGTCGGTTTTGCAGAGGCTGCAGTTTACTCTGAAGGAAGAATAGTGTAGAATTGCCATTGAAGGCCTGCTTGGGGAGTGCATTCTTTATAATGCACATGCATCCCCCAGTGAAGTCAGTTGCCATTCCTCACAAAATCTGGTTTGGTCCCCCATAACACACTCAACACAAACCATTTCTCACAAGACCATTTGGAAGATGTGTGTAAAAACGCTCTGTTTGGTGGTGGGTTTGCCCCGGTGCGTGTGTGGGTTCTTTGGGTTTATTATTTTGTTTTGTGAAATGGTCTGCAAGCTAAAGTTTGGTGTAGGTTAAATAGTCTTCAACTCTCTTGGTGGTTTTGTGTGATCTAATTAAATCAAGAATCCCTATACACTAACTTTCATTCTTTGCTAGCTCAGCCACTGAATAAATCATGTAGCTGACATTTGTCTAGCTGAGGGAGGAAGAAGCTTTTGTGATAACATCGTCAAGAGGCTGGTGCTATAGATTTTTTGCTTGTTGAGAAAGCAGTTAAAATTTAGCCAGTCTGTTCTCTTTGGTTTTAAGTGGAAGTAACTGATATTGTCCCAGTGAAATGGCAAATAAAGTTTTTATCTTTCAAGAGTGCTGGACAGATAAAATAAAAAGTATTGTGAGACTTCATTCCTTTTGAACACTTGGCTTATTTGTTAATGGTCTGGAAAGGCATCGGCTGTTTTTATTGCAGCTGCCCATATCTGCTCCCTTCTCCACAAATGCATTAAAAAATAAAGTAACTTTTTATTTTTTTGCAAGCAACTACTTTATTCCCAGTTGGGGGAGAAATCTGTTAACTCCGATCTGTCATTTGGAAAGTGTTTTTTTTGTTCTTAAAATAGGAAGAGTTTTGTATTTCTAAGGAGCTTACAGGAAGACCTTTTCTATTTTCAGAATTCTTGAAGAAAAGCCCAGAACTTGAAGTTTAAATACTTTTCTATCTTTGAGTAATGAAATATTTGTATCTTCTTGGAAGAGCCTTTACTCTATAACTAAGGAGAGCACCTTTGGGACAGCTTTTCTATGTTACATTAGCAGTCATTTAATATTATTTTTACCTGTCTTTGATTGCTGAAGTGTAGAAATTTCTACTCCTGTAGAAATGTTGGCCTCCCAGGTTTTTGCTTTATTCTTGCAGAAACTCAGTCCTAACAGACCTTGTTGTTTTGGGGTATTTTGTGTTTGGGTTGTTTTTTCCTTTGTTTGTTTTGTAGGGGGGAGAAGGGGTGGTGGTCATGTGGTTTAAGAGTAGAGGTTTGGGGGGGGGGGGGGGGGGGTTGTTCTCATTTATAGTTCTGGGAGGTTTTCTAGCAGAATAGGTTGCTTCCCTCTCAAGGTTTTACACCTCAGCTCTGTATTTGGAGACCAGTAAAGAGCATTATGATGTTTCTGAAGAACAAATGGGGAATTTATGGAAGTGGTACCTGTAGATGATCCAGTTTACTTTTAAAATGCTAATTATCTTTGCTTCTACCACCCTGTGATATTGCATGCCTAATAGACAAATGTGAGTGCTTTCTGTCTAACTTGGAGTAGAAAATCATCTTAGCAGCAGATAATTGACAAGCATGCCTGTGTAAATCATAGTATTGTAAATGCCTGCTATGGAAATTTCTTGCCTGTCAACACATGTTAGCACAAATGAAAATTTATTCAGTTGTATTGTCTTCCCCAGAGAAGCCATGGAGATTTTCTGTTCTCTTGCTGGCAAATGAAAATTTCATTCCATACAAGTGAAAAAACAGTTGACTTTTGGAAACAGACACAAGCTTTCTTTTTTCTTCCAGGTGGATCCATTTCACACCTTATTTGGTATTGCTGGACTATCTTTATTGGGAGAAGAACAAATTAAGGCTGTCAATCCTGTCTTTTGTATGCCAGAAGACGTCCTTCGAAGAATAAACGTACAGCCTGAGCTTGTAAGCTAAGCCTTGTAAAAGACAAAAGCTTTGTACGACCAATTGCTTTTTGGTTTTACTGATTTATAATCTCATCTGTGAAACTGTCATCATATTCTTCTTTCAGATGTGTTTACATTATGGAAGTAAAGCAATAGCTTTGCTGTGGACTTTATCACTTTATAAATTGTTTCAGAACAGGCTGGTTCTCTTAATCTGAGTGTAACATGTTATTTTGTTGTATTCTAAGATGTGTAGAAACATTTCAAAACTGTATCTAAATTTATGGGCCTTGGCTCTTTTTTTTTAATATAATTTTCAAATCAGAGCTTGACAGTGTGAATGCTTAACTTTTCTATTCCTGTAATATCAACCATGCTAGTACTGATGTTCATACAGGCCTCTTTTGATGGTGGATCATGCAAAGCACTTTAAAAAAACAAAAAAAAAAGCCCAAAACAAACAAACCAATAAAATCCTACCTGAGGCCTGCACTTAATACCACACTTACATATTTAATTATTCACATTTGCCATCACTTTTCTATACTGAGAAACAGCTGCTTCTTCTCCCAGTATTTGATACTAGTAGTACCATAATTATGGTTCTTTTAAATATACAAATGTCTTCATTTATTGATCAGTCCCTTAGACAAAATTCCACTGATACTTGCGATACAGCACACCTTGAGTACGTAGAGTGAAACTTGCTAACATTAAACATTCTAGAGAAGGTCCCTGTTGGATGGTGACTTGTAATTGAACATAGAGTTGATGCTAAATCTCTTGCTGGGTTGAAATCCTGATTTTGTAGCTCTTAAGACATTAATTGTCAACACTTGATTTTGGTGTAGTTGAAAATAAAATAAGCTGTGGAAAACACTTGTTGTCTGAAGGGTGAAATCCTCTTTGTCTTCATAGAAGTGTTAAAATTGCCTCTTAATTGACATTCCACACATCCTAGCTGAATGACATTCCACTTGTAATATACAGTAAAAGGTAATTGGGAAGGGCAGGAAGTCTTTTGATAATCTCTATACTTATGTTTAAATAAGGCCTAAAGTTGTTTCACCAGTACTTCACTCTGCAGAGATAGCCACCCAAGATTTGGCCTGCACAGTTTTCATACTAGCAGAACTGTATATTGAGTTGTAGTCATTTAAAATAAAAACCCAAACTCACTGAATAGAAAATATTGCCTTGGGCTACAATATTGGGAATTAATTTGTGAGCAGACGTGAGCTCTGCTGTCCCTTTGGACTGAGAAAGACAGAGTTTTTTTCCCAAGTTCCTTTTGAACCTGTCCTGCACCTGTTACAAGTCCTCACTCTCCTGCAATTTTGTGGGTCAGTCACATGTAAAACAGCACAACTGGCTGGCATGCTTTGCTCATGAGGGGAGACAAGAGAAGAATCCCTCTGCTCACACCAAACCTGCAGCTGCCAAACCTTACCAAAGCACCTGAGGAGCCCCCAGGGATTGAGGGTACAGAAGGGAGGTGATGGAGGACAGCACAGCAGGCAGCCTGCCCCCCATCTGGCTGTGAAGAAGGCAGGGCTGGGAACTGTCAGCAACATCCCACCAGGTCTGGCTCATGGTGCCACCCTGAGGGCTTCCCCTGCCTTTGGGCAGTCCCAGCTGCTGCAGCTCACGGGACAGAGACTCAGTGTCTATACTGTGCTTGGCTGCACTAGAGAGGATGAAGCTTAGGACAGCAATGGTTGCCTTCACATCCCCTGACTGCAGATGGGAGGGAGGGTGAGCTCTGTCACCTTGGGAAGGCATCTGCAGATTCATTGCTGCCCATCTCTGGAGCGTGGCTCCATCGGGGGGTCGTAGTAAGGACAGCAGTGCTGACCTAACTTTGCACCTGAGGTCAGCTTCAGGATCTTGTCATACTGTGGGAGAGCAGAGCTTCACAGTAAACACCAGCTAACATACTCGCTACCAGTGTTAACGCTAACAATTCTTACCTAAATACTAATAACACTTACTATGCATATTATTAATGCTAGTAGAGGCTGGTAGCATTCTTAATGCTGAGGCTTGCATGAAGAACACAAAATAAATTAATGATGCTGATTCTGCTATTGTGGTGTTGAACTACTTGGCCTCCACTGCGGTAGCCCCACACTTACGTCGATGGCCTCCCCCAGCACGTCCCGAAGCACTGGGATGCAGATCAGCTTAAGCTTCACTGATGTGATAAACAGAGTTCACTCTGTAAAATTTTTAAAAGTTTAATGAAGGATAAAAGGACAAAATAATCCAGCACTGGGATGCTTTTAGCACACAGCCACAGAGCACAGAGGTAGCATAAAATCGTGTTCACTATATAATGTTACATTGCTGAGGTTACATGCATATTCATTAGCTTACACATTATTCAAACATTCCTTTGAGTTTTTGATGTTGCAGGAACTCTCTTGTTTGGTTTTAACCGCTGACTTGTCTGCAGAACATTCTGTAAATTAGATCTACATATTTTATTTCTTCCTGTAGTTTTATCCTGTTGCTTCACACTCCCTGATAACACCGATAAGAGTCGATAAATCCTTCCTGGATGCTTAAGCTCTTTTTGTCACTGTTATCACTTGGTAGGGGCAGTCTCGAGTTATAAGAAACAGAATAATTGCTTTACACCATTTTCTGAGTTAGTTACATAGCAGTGTTTTAGTTTCTATTTTAACATTTTGCTAAAGCCTACGATATAATATATTTATCACACTACTATTCCTATGAAATATACAGTGCATACATAAACTGGCATATGACACTATACAAAGCAGTTAAAAGTAAGTATAAGTTGTACCATATCAGAATACTTGTGATGCAAAAAGCTAATCTATGAATGTGAAAGCCAATATTGTTTTATCATCTATAACATCCGACGACTGTGGGGGAAAACGAGGGTGAGCAGCGGGCCCGCAGCAGGCAGAGGGCGCGCAGGGGGACGCGGGGCACTTAACTTTGGCCAGGGTGCTGATCTCGGCCAGTCGGGGCAGGCCACGTCTCCGCAGAAGCGGAAGGAGTGCGGGAGAAGAGGCGCCCAGAGCCCGCAGCGGGCTCTGCACGCCCTCCCCGCTCCCGAGCCCCCTCCTCACCTTGTCGCCGCCGCTCCCTGGTCCGCGCTGCTGTCGCAGAGTCCGCCTTTACGACCCGGAACCACTCCCGGGCTACACCCCTCCCCGCCCCGAGGGGCTCTGCGGGGGTCTTTTCGCCGGGACCTGGGCACGAGAGAGGGCCGGAGGAGGGGACAGGGGGCGATTTCGCGAGCGGGACCCCCGGGCGCCCGCGGACCCTTCGGGCAGCCCAGGCTCCGCCCCACGCTACCCCGGGCCGCAGCCTGACGGCTCCCAAGCCTGCCAATCCCGGCCCGCCTTTCTCCGCCCGCCCTGTCCAATCACAGCCGCCCTTTCAATCCGGGCGCGGTCCCGCCAATCTCAGCCCGCTCAGTCGCGGCCCGGCCCCTCAGCTTGGCCCATACCACAGTACACCTGAGGCGCCGCTCCCGCCACCGCCGCTTTGGGAGCCGGCGGAGCTGTGTTCCCGCTATCGCTGCCTCGGCAGGCACTGTTGGGGCCGGGAAGGGCGGGCCGGGAGCGAGCTTCCAGTTCAGGTCCTGGCCGGGATCAGGTTCTGGTCCAGGGAAACGGGCAGACGGCGGGGAGCGGGCAGACGCGGCCCCTGCAATGGCGGCGGGAGCAGCGCTTGAGGGGACTGCGGGAGGTCGCGGAGCCGAGCGCGGCGGGAATGGGCGGGCTGGGATTGGTGGAGCCGGCAGGCGCTGCCTCGGCTTGTGATTGGCTGGCTGGTCCGGCCCTGGGGCATAAATAGCGTGCGTTGGCACGGCGCAGGCGTCAGTTCGGCGGCGGAGCTGGAGCGACAGGAGCTGCGGATGCGCGATCTGAGGAGCGGCGCCGTGGGAGCGACGGGAGCTGCGGTTGCGCGATCTGAGGAGCGGCGCTGCGCCGGGACGGGACCCAGTGGTAGCTGATCCGGGGAGCGCTGGTGAGCATGGACGCGACGCCTGCGGCAGCATCTGGGAGCCGGTCGTGTCCAGTTGTTTCTGCCGTGCCCTGCGCGGCTCGGGTAGCTGGCGGCTGGTGTGGGGCCTGGAGTGGCGCGGGGGGGAACCGGCTGCTGTCACTGGGGGCCGGGAAGTAGCCGTTTCGCGGTTTCTGGATTTAAAGTATTGTTCAGAATACGAGGAATAAAGCTTGCTTTTTTTTGCATTTTTATTACTTTATTTTGTTTCTGCTTATAATGATTTTTTCCTTTATTGTGTTATTTTATTATTGCTCGTTTTATTACATCTTTTTGGTTTGTTTTCTTTACTAGATATCTGATGTTAATTCAGTAAGGGTCGTGAGACTGGGGCTGAAACACTAGTTGTGAGCTCAGTGGAGACATAAAACCCCAGGGTGTGGAATAATGATTTTGACATGAGTCAGGCCCAAAACAATGTGGAGCGGTGGAAATGCTGGGGCTAGATAAATGCAGCACAGGGCCTATAGGATATGCCTGGGGGTTCCCAGCCCCTGCCCCGTGGTACCAAGCAGGGGCTGAGGGCGTGGGGGCTCAGAGGGGTTCCAGGGCCCAAGAACCAGCCCAAGGGTGCCTTTTGGGATGGGGGACCAGAAGCCCAGTGGCTATTCCCAGCCCCTGGAGCTGCCTGGGAGGAGGTGAGGGGGCCTTTGTGCAGGTGCTGGGCTGAGAGCCAGAGTGAGGGAGAAGGTAGATGAGCTTCAGGCCTCAAGTGTCCCCAAAGCTGGGATCCCACTGGGGTGGGTGGGTGGGACAGCTTCTAGAGACATTGAAATGATGGCAGTAACTGATGTGTGACCTTATCAACAGCCCCAAGCTGCAGTGAGAAGCAGGAGCAGCTTTTAGCTACAGCCAGTAGGAAGCTGAGGAGCTGGAGCTGAGGCAGCAGAGCTGGAGGAGACAGAAATATGGTAGGATTTGGGGAAAACCCCTGTGGGGCTGGTAATAGGGAATGTGGAGCTAGGAGGTGAACTGCATGGTTGGAGTTGAAATTGCTGTAAGGGCTGTGATCTGAGCTCAAACCACACAGAGCTAGAGCTAAAACAAAGATCCTGCCCTGAGAAGCAGAAGTAGCGTTATGTGGCACTGCTGTGAAGATGTTGAGCAGGAAGTGGAACAGAAGAGCTGGCAGTAAAATAAAGCTTGTGGGACTGGAGCTGAAATCACTGGGCCCAGGGTGGGGAATGCAGTGCTGCAGCATCAATCATTGCTCAAAGGGATACTCACTGTAGATCTGAAGACTAACCATAGAATGAGACACAAAATGAAAAAACTGGAAATAGAATAACAACTTGCAAAATGGGGTGGCAATGGTGATACTGAACGTGGAGGTGAAACCCCAAAACTGCAGGCAAAGCCAAAACCCTCAGGTTGTCTCAACCTGAGAGCAGCTTTGCGTGGCAGAGCTGGAAAAGAGTACAGCTGGAGATGGAAGAAGAGCTGGCAGTGAAATAAAGCTTGTGTGTCAATAGCTGAAATCAGTGGGGCTGGGAAAGGGGAACTGTGGGGTTGGGATTGAGACTGCACATGAGGTGGAAACAGAAAGGCGGACAAAGAGACTGTATGATTTATGTGCTAAACTCACTGCAGGCCTGTGATATGGATGCTGGGGCTCGGTATTGTGACTGGAAGTAGAATGGGATGTGTGGAGTGGAAAAGGGGACTGCAACCTTGTGAAAACCCTGTTGATCCTATGATATTGCCTAGATTGGTAATGGCATCTCTAAGGATCGAGCTGAAATCACTGTGGGGCTGGGTTTGTGCTTGAAAATGCATAAGAAACTAAGGCTGAGAATGGGACTGTGAGCATCGAGGGGAACTTAGGCAGGAGCTGG